ATTTGGTTTTGCCGGGTGAGTTGTGCTAGGATGCGCTCATTGACCGAGTCTTCGTTTTGTCCCCTTGGGTTTCCTCCCGATCGTGTGTGTGCTGGTGGGTTAGGCTCGCTATCGTCTTCCTGATCCCCACCTTCCTCTAGACCCCCAAAATCTTGCATTGCTCGTTTAAGCTTTTTGTTGGAGATGTCCAATCGGTCGACCAATTCTCTTCGCTCCTCCTCGGGTTTTAGGCAAATTTCTTCGAGGGTGATGTATTGTCCCCCTTTGGTGTAGTAGATATCATTGCGGCGGAGGTTCTGGGCGTTAAAGATCATGCCGTTTACAGTCTTGACCTCAGTGTGGCTTAGATCCACCCCCTTTTTCTCCATGATCCAACTTAGGATCATCCCGTAGGGCAGGCTAAGTCGGTTGCTTGTCTTGCAAAATTCCATGTGTTTTAACATGAGGGCCGGTAGGTTGAACTTGATTTTGTGTTTCAAGAGGTAGGCAAAAGTGCACTCTAAGCTCCCCACGTCTTTGCTCTTATTATTTGTGGGCAAGAGGCTGTCAGTTACAATCATAACCAATATCTTTTGCTCCGCCGTTAGCCACTTCCTATTTGGTCGCGTGGCCGAGGTGAACCCTTCCTCTTTCCCGAGTAGGTACCCGAGGTAGTCTTTGTACCCCGTATTTTGGGTATCAATCCACCCCTTTCGGTCGTAATTTGACACACCCGTGGTGGTCAATTTCAAGAGCTTAGCCAAGCGGCCTTCGGAGAGTATGATTTCCTTGCCGCGAACCTTGGTGGTGATTTCTAGTTTATCACCCCGTTTGGTGGCTACTAGATGTTGATAGAATTCTTTCACCAATTCGGGGTACGTATCCCCCTTGATGGTGAGGTACGTATCCAAAAGCCCTTGGTGATTAAGCATATCGACCAATTCCGAAGAAAATTGGTCGGGTTCAAGGGCTTTACCTCCGATTACGGTATAGCCGGCGTTGCTCTATTCCGGGGTACGGGTTCCGAGGGGATTTTTTGGCATTTTTGGGTGGATGGTACTTTTCCGGCGATCTTCCGGTGGGACTTCGGCGTGTCTCCGGCGGGTTTCCGGCGGCGTGGTTTCTTCGTCGGCGAGGAGGGCGGCGGCGAGCTTGGCTCCGGCGACGGCTCGGCGAGGGGAGGCGGCGGTTTTGGGGTGGAGTCGGGCAGTGCGTGGCAGCGGGTGGCGTTCAAGCGAGTGGCGGGCGGCGTTGGTGTCGCGGGTTTCCTCCGGCGGTGATGGCGGCGTGCGGTGGGGTGCGGCCTGGGCGGTCGGCGGTGGCTCGGCTGCTGGCGGCGGTGGGTTCGTGGGTCCGGTGTTGGGGGGCGGGGTGCGGTGAGGTGAGTGGGAGAGGGGAGGAGAGAGGGAGAGGAAGTGAGGAAGAAAAAGAAGAAGAAGGGTTTTTTATTTGGGGATTTTGTGGGTTTTAGGGATTTGTAGGGGTTTTAAGAAGGGAGTGTTCCCTTGATGTTTTAAGAAGCATCCTTAGCCTAGTGGTCAAGATCTTGGTCTTGCATGTGGGAGGTCAAGGGTTCAATTCCCATTGGTAACACTAGGCTTTTTGATGGTGTGGTCCTTGTCTTTTTCCTTCTTTTGTCTTCTAGTGGTGGGAGGCTTGGCTTGTTTTCCTTATGTATAATTTTAGTTCCAACCCCGTAAGTATGGTCGAATTTCGATCTAGTCTTTTATTTATAATAATTTCGAAGTAATTAAGCTAAGTAAGTAGTTCCACTACGAAGGTGGTTACAAGGAATTTTCCGGTTTATCCTAGACAGAACTCGTCTTCTTGGTTTTCTTCCGCGGGGTTTTGGTGGTCCTCGTCTTCTGGGGTTAGGTTCCACTCCTCGAGGTTGTTCTCGTTCCCGAGTTCGGCCTGGGTGCGGCTCATGATGAATATCTTTCCGGGAGTGCTGTAGTTTCCTTGGTGAGTGGTGCCCCCAGTGTTGACCCATGGTGGTGGTGCGTGGCCTTTAGGGTTGAGTGCACTGGAAGGCCTTGTGTCCTTCTTCCCCGCAGTTGAAGCATCGCCAGGGATTGCCCATGCAGTCTTTGCCTCTATGGCTTTTGTTGCATTTTGGGCAAGGGAAGCTTCTTGTGTTAGCTTCATTGCTCCCTAGTGGTGGCCTTTGGCTGGCCAGGTTACTTGGTCTTGTGTTGGTGTCGTTTCTTGTCCTTTTTACGGGTGGTGTCCCACCTCCAGTGTTTCTTTTCCATATCTGTTCTTGAACCCCTCGTTGTAGCAGTTGGATTCGATAGAGATTTGCGGCACTGGAGTAAGCCTCGTTGAGGGTCCGGGGTCTGCTTATCACTAGTGCTTTTCGGGCTTCGAAGTTGAGGCCCGATACGAATCTCTCTATTTTGGTTACCTTAGTGGGGACTAGTTCCAGTGTGAAGCGTGCTAGTTCTAGGAATCGTTTATGGTATTCCATGACGGTGGTCGTTCCTTGTTTCAGATGGAGGAACTCTTCGTGCATAGATGCTTTTACGTGTGTTGGATAGAATCGCTCTCGTTGACGTGTTTTGAGGTTTCCCAGTCGAACCCTGGTTCTTGTCGGTAAGCGGGTCCCTCGTGGATCCACCAAAGGTCTGCCTCGTGTCCGAAGTAGAACGTGGCTATCTCCACGCGACGTTCCTCTGGGCATTCTACTAGCCCTAGAATTTTGTCGAGGGTCCGGATCCATTCCTTCAGGATCACGGGGTCTTCTTCTCCTGAAAACGTGGGGGGTCGATGATTCGAAACGTGTCGGGCGATGTCCGAGTTTGTGTTTGATGGACGTGGTGGGGGTCTGTTATTGCGAAGAGCCACATCGCTTAGTGCTTGGGCGACTTGTGTTAGTTGCTGCACGGTTTGGGTTAGAGGGTCGTGTATGTCGGGTTCCGGTGTCCTTGATTGTCTTCTGTTTGGTGCCATCACTACTACAAAAAAGGGCTTTAACGTCGGTCTTTTTACCCCATTTAACGTCGGATTTCGACCGACGTCTAGGTAGCAGACGTCGTAAGTATGAGATACGACGTCGGTTAAAAAAACCGACGTCGTATAATTTTTAAATTTTTAATATTAACATACGACGTCGATTATTAAGTAATAACTGACGTCGTATAGTTTTAAAAATATTTTTAATTAAGAAACGACGTCGGTTTTTTAAAAAAACCGACGTCGTATATTTTAAAAAAAAATAAAATAAATTCACATAAGACGTCAGTTTTTTTGTAAAAATCGACGTCTTATGTTCACTTTAAAAATAAATAAATAAATAAACAACGTACGTCGTTTATTTTTTTTTATTAAAATTTAAACGAGAATGAGAGTACCAGACAAGAACTCCTCCCAACAGCACTGTACATGGATATTTAAGGATGATAAAAAAAATTGAAGTACCAAGCAACAATTTCAGATTTAGCAAACACTTCAGGCATATCAACTAGCAAAACTGAAAGGAGAAATAAATAAAGAACAGTGAAAGATAGAAGAAAAGTCTCAAGTTTAGATGCTATACCTAGCTTGCATTGGGGTTCCACAGTAAGACTAGTGCTCTGTTGAATTTCTTCGATTTCCAGATAAGCAATAGAAGGATCTTCTATCATATGTTCAATGCTTGACAAATCACTTTTACCACCTTTATAAACATAATAAATAATAAATAGAGGCAATGTATAAGCAATATGAATCCGTTCATTAGTTGCTAATAATTAATTTCTCTCCACATAAAAGATCACCCATCTATATGACACTATTATCTGAATGATCACTGCCATGGCTGTCAATACAACGGAGGTGCATGATGAGTGTAAAGATGTAAATAAAATAATCGTCATATGTTTGGAATGAAGTTTGAAGCACTCATAAGAAAATCCATATTTTCACCTTGCTCCCATACTGACAAGGTCAATAGTTTTCAGTCATGTACGAATTATTAGTATATAATAATTTAATTAACATGCAAAATGATCTTCCTAAGAAAGAGATCATCCTTTTCTTTCTAACAAGACGAGCAACATTCAACCATGGAACCTCCTAAAAGCAACAGCAAGGGAGTAGCCCAATTATGGGAGAGATGAGAAAAGGATAACATTTGAATCAGATTGTCATACTTCAATTGAAAGAAAGTCCAAACCAAGTACACATTGAGAACGCAAAAGAGAAAATGGATAATAATTGCAATTTTCACCTAAGCCAAAATTTGATAGGTATCATTTCCTAGCATGCATATTGAATCGACCAATTATGGATTAGCCGGTCCTTAAATTATCTAATTTCTTGAAAAAATCATCTTAAACTTAAAATAGCATGCGTATAACTTTATTTTCAACTAAGTGGGCTATGTGCAATGGCCACTGAGGTAGATGAAACAAGATATGAGTAAGGAGCAGACCATGTAACACGGTCTCAATAGCCTTGTTACACTTCATGATTTCAGCTTCCACAATCTGTTGTTGCTCCCACTGTAAATAAGTAAATTAAAATGAATTTAATTTAGCATGTCCAACTGCAAGTTCATTAAAGGTTTAACTAATATCCAAAGAATATCCATATAAGCAACCAAAGAATACCTTGGTACACAAACTTGCAGTCTCATCCTCCCCCAACTTAAGCAACCAAAGAATATCCATATAGTAACTCAAGATATATTATTGGTGCAAACCATTCAAGTTGTGTAATCTCATGCACCTCTACTACTCACTAGAATACTAGATTATGAAACCAGAGATCTTACATCCTCTTCGATTAATCAAGTAGCTCTAATATAACCATAATATGATCAAACAATTCAATGTAAAATAGTTTGAGGCTAGTCTTGCTCATATAACAGAAGAATATAATTCACAGTATGTGCACATCTTTGTCAGCCACATTTTTCTTTCAAAAGCGCAAAAGTTATGTTTTTCATAAGAATTTTTGAAATTCACGACCAACTCTTAACCCACAGGTCATTTATTCAATCCCTCAAAGAATAGATTTTAGGAGTGAAATAAATAGTCTCAATATAAAAAGGTTTGCCCTGACTATCTTCTTCATGTTATTATCAGTTTATTGGCACTATTAGTAATACTATGAATACTACTGCTTTATCACAATACAATTAGGAGCAGCCTGGAAGAAGATAAAGAGAAATTCACCAGCTTGGAAAGCAACTTCAATATTGGTCAGTTTGATATCTTTATAAGCAAATGATATAATAATCTTCAGTTTCCATCTTCATCTTCTTTGTATCCATTGCGCTGAAAACCACAAGAAATACTAGTCGATCACAGATAAAGATTAAAGATATGCACCCACTATAAGGCTGATTTGCTTCCTTCCCTAAAACCAATTCGAGTTTACACAACGAAACTAACAACAATTAGGGAAGAGCAACTGACAACAAAGATGCAGGCATCAATGATTAAGCAACTAAATGCAATACTTTTTTTTTTTTGAAACGTGCACAACATTAGTATAGTTGTATATATAGATATAGATATTGATTACACCGGCATATAACAATGAAAGAATCATATTTACACTACCCTAAGAAACACATTTGAAATAAATTTAGCTACAACAAATAAAAGAAAGGTGCAAACCTGTTGTGACTCGGAACACATGATCACGATCACGCAGCTTCTTGTGCTTCTTCTTTTTGGCACCTCCAGACTTCACATCTAGAGCCTTGCCCTTTAGCTTCAACTTTCCAACAACTACATTTTCATATGCCGACATTTTTCCTGATAAAGTTCCACAAGTATGCAAGTAGACTACCTAATATATCTGCATAAAATAAAACCAGTTAATTAGACCACATCTCCACCCTAAAAGGCAGGGATTAGACAAATATGCATGTGCAACAACTCTTCCTCAGATCTAAGCCATTAGTGCTAGATTAATTACATAGACAATGCCCTTAAATTCATAGAGCGTTCCTGATTGCGGTAATTGCAAAATTTTCAGTACAAATGTTCATAGATAGGCAAATAATTCTACAAAAATAAGCTTACCGCAGTGTGCGGCGAGGTGACTTCCGGCTACCAGGTGCGGCGAGGCGATGTCCGGTGAAGCTTTTGCGGCGACGCAACGCGACGGCTTGGGGCAGCTGGCGAATACGAAGTTGAAAGGGGCGACGGCTGACTGTTGCGGCGGCTGGCGAAGACGACCTCGAAGTGGGCGGCAACAGTGGCGACGATAAGAAGGGCTGGAGCAGTGGCGATGGTGTTAGGCGACAGTGTAGCGTGTGGTGTGATGGGGCGGCGGTGTGATGTGTTGAAGAAGAAGAGATCTCTTTTGTTCGAATAGGCTGTATATCTAGGGTTGAATTAAAAATACGATGTCGGATATAAAAGTAGCCGACGTCATATATTTAATAATTTATTATTTTTTTTAAAAAAATAAAGGTTACGGCGTCGGTTTTCTATAAGACCGACGTCGTAACCTTAATAAAAATAAAAAAATAAAAATCGTATACTATACGACGTCGGCTCGTTAGTTAGCCGACGTCGTATAGTATATTTATTTCTTTTTTTAATTTTAAATACATATAAAACGTCGGTTGTCTCACAAAACCGACGTCTTATGTATTTTTAAAAAAAAATTAATTAATTTTAAATTTTTAACGTCGGTTTTTTAAAAAACCAACGTTAAATTGGCGACGTTATAAGTGTTTTCTGTAGTAGTGCATGTTGTCGTCCTTCTGGGTTAATGTTTATAGGGATGTTAGGTGAGAGTTTTATATCCTTACTTTGGCGTGATAAGCGGAGGGAAAGTTCCCTTTAGATAAGTGAAGGGTAAAGTGAGGGAGAGTTATGTGTAGGTTTCACAGTCTTACCGTGCGTCCTAAAGTTCCTGAGTCCTACGTTCCTAAATACCTAAAGTTCAAGCCTATTGTCTTAAAGTCCAGTCTTAAGAGTATTATCCTAGGGCCAAACTTAGGCTCTGGTACCAACTGTAACACCCCGAAAATTTTAAACTTTTTGAAGCTTATAAAATAAAGGTAAATGCTCATAAATCCCAAAACATACATAAGAGTACGGGGTGCTATGCCACACCTGAGCTAGAGAACTCAGGTGCACAGGCTTACTTCTAGAATCCTCAAATAGGATCAATACATAAACATGGCACGCAGGCCGAAATGGAAACTATCTACTCTATGCTCCGAATCTCTAGCGCGCTCCAGTGTCTAATCATCTGTGCCTGAAAGCCAAATATATCTATTCAGCGAGAGATGCTGGTAACCCACTCCAACGCGTTGATATACAGTATATATAGATATATACATAGATATAAGAAAAACCATTTCGAAGCATGAAGATATATCCTAAGAGACTCTAGCTTTTAAAACAGGGAATAGACTCGACAGATAGGGGTAAGCACCGCCAACAGTCATAACCAAGCATACACAATTACTAGCATATATCCTATGGTCAAGTTTTCACATCATAACATTCATAACATCAAACCGTCCATATCTCATCACACAACACACTTTGATGGCGCCACAGGACCAATCGCAAGCCCATACATGAGGGTCAGCGCATATAGCTCTGACACTGCCCCGCAGCACCTTGCCTGGTATCGCAACACGAAGGGGTCGATCGCAACCGACCGATGAACCGCAGCTCATCATAATGTTTGATCGCAACCAAACAGTGGACCGCAGCCCAAGAGTAGTCATCTGACCGTAGCCAGGAATATGAACCGCAGCTCATGTAAAACGTTTGATCACAACCAAACGGTGGACCGCAACCCGAGAGTGTAAATCTGACCGCAGCCAGCTTCTGAACCGCAGCTCAGTAATAACCAATTTGATCGCAACCAAATTGGGGTATCATGCACACGTAACACATAACAAGTACATGCAACCCACATTGACACATTGGGAAGGGGAGGAAATCGTATAATGAAACCTATGCATGATCATTCACATACTAGGAATAATCCTAAGGGGTTCATACTTCTTTCACCTAGGCCAACGGGATACCAATTCAAATAGCATGCAATATATAAGACTCGTTTATCCTACGAACGGTACCCGAAACATCAAACCAGACATAGGCACGATAGACGGAGTCCGTTGGGACACCACGAGGGTCGGGGGAACATCAAACGGGGAAGCCGGGATCCCGAGGTGGGATTATTTCCAGCGGGTAGCCGGTGGGTGAGGGGTCACCCGCCGGCGACAAGTCTCCGGGCAGCGTGTGCCCGGCGGGCAGTCGCCTGCCCGCTGCCGATGACGTCAATTCTGGCCGCGGGTAGGTGGCGGGTCCCCTACCCCCCACTGACTCTCTTTCACAATAAACGCCCCGGGATCCATTGTGGAACCCGAAACCATGCTTAGACACTTTTAAACGCAATCGATGACACCACGTGGATAGTTAGCGGATCAAAAGCAAGAAACGTACGGCACGTACCTTATCATGCTTCCTAAATACAATTAACGCCCAAACATGCGAATTCCCACCCAATATATCAAGAATAACACCACACGAGTTTCACGATACATCCTAGGGCTCTAATCATATTTAAATCATCAAGAACGTAACTCATCCTTTAACATCAAGAACCAATACAATTCATCAAGAATATCACATAATTATCAAGAACCCGAATTCCTCAAGAATATCACACAATTATCAAGAAACCCTTATCATCATCAAGATTATCAAGATAAAACCATATCACCAATTATCAAGATCACATTATCAATATCATAAACAATTCATCAAGACACAAGAATATATGTGTCACGCCCTAAAAATGAGCATAACCCGGCCGTATTATTACGACAAAAACAAAATCGTTATAATACGAAGCCTGCTAAACAAAATATCAATCACAAGATAACCTAAACAACCTCTTGGTCTTAAAGTTCCTTCCCCGAAGATAGCTTAATTGGAATTATAATATACACATTTAAGCTTCTAGACATGGTCCAAAATTACAACTTGAAATCCAAGGTCCTACTATGGACTTTGATCTCCACAAAAAGACTAGAAGTAGTCCTCCTCTATCACAAAACACTAGACTAATACCCCATGGTCTTTAACCCCAAAATGTGACCTCCCTTGTCTTAACCTCGATCAACACTCTAATCTGAAAACATGAACACACAAGTGAGCTCAAAGCATGGTACATCATATAACACTTCTCTACCAAATCAAGTATAAAGAATAAAGAGGACCACAAATAAATAAGGTAACATAAGACGTTTAATAAAACGTATAATAAAAGCGTTAGTATTCTTATACAATTTTATCGCATAAGAGTATCAATAATTCCAGAGTTTTCCCTTCAAGTCATGAATCATAGATCGGTGCTCAAAATATCATAGAAATAAATAAATAAAGATATTACATACCTAACTCACCATTTTACTTTGAGAACTATAATATACTCATAGGATGAGCCAAGATCAATTAATAATATTACACTAGTCAAGGGTAGCAAAGCTACCAATTAAAATCAAGGGAATGTTCCAAATCAAGGGTGGCGAGACCACCAGTTGGAAATCAAGGGAACATTCCAAGTCAAGACAGGGGTGGTTAGACCACCAATATGATTAATACCTTTGAAAATCTATATATACCATGATCAACATTAAAACGCATCAAATTCCCAAATTTTCACGAGATATGTACTAATTCTTTATCATACAAAACATGCCCATAATATTCAAGAATAGCTTCAATATTTTACAATCACTTAAGCTATGGTATATAAGTTACAATGAGTAAGTAAGTGCAAAGTTCCCTTACCTTAGTAAGCTTTAAGCATAGAAATTCCTTTATGCACTAACCTTCACGGTCACCTATCAAATACATACACCATTATAACTTACTAGCATTCCAAATATTTACAAATTCTTCTTGTAAATTTATAAAAAAAACCATGTTTTCTCCACACCAAGCAACAAGCCAAAAATATAAATAAATGAGCCTAAGACCTCTATTACTCTTCTTGAAACAAGTACTGTCAAAATTGAACAAATAAGATGTAGTTCATTAGGGAGAAAAATCAGCCGCAACATGGGTAATAAATCATAGGTTTGCAAGGGAAATGAAATAATAAAATAGCACATAACCCTACTAAAGCTATCCCAAAACACCCACTTTAAAACAACCCTTGACAATTTCAATTCTTCACTAGAATTCCCATTCTTGAGCTTCGAATTACAGCAAAAAATGAACCAGGATGCTAAAGTGTAAAATATCTTCTTTTAACAACAAAACTAAAGTAATTACCTTGTCCCCTTTTTTTACTTTGTTTTTGAGCACAAAAGCAAAACCTACTGCCTCCTCACTCTTCTTACGCCAAAAGCTCAAAGTGTCCTTTTCTCCCCTCTTTCTTCTCTACTAAGATTCCAGAATAATCTCCTTCCCCCTAATGGACTTCTCAAGCTTATGATATACAAATATTATTGGGCCCAAGAATGGACTAAGCCCAAATCAAAACTTAACCAACTAAATTATAATTTGGGCCTAGGAAGAATAAGACCTAAAAATATCTAGTTAGCCTATTATTATTATTATTATTACTATCAAAAATGAAAATTTGTCATTACATACTCTACCCCTTAATGAAAGTTTCGTCCTCGAAACTTACATACCTTCCTCAGTAAAGAGCTCAGGATAACATTCTCTCATGATCTCCTCTCGTTCCCAAGTAGCTTCTCTTGATGTGTGATTAGACCATTGTATCTTGACTCACTGGATTTTACGTCGCCTTAAGGTTTGTTCCTTCTTGTCAACTATACGAATAGGCACTTCTGTGTAGGACAAGTTATCTTTGATATGCAGTGGCTCATAGTCCAATATGTGACTAGGATCTGAAATATATTTTCTTAACATAGATACATGGAAGACATTGTGGACACTAGATAATCCTGGTGGAAGTGCGACCCTATAGGCCAAATCACCAACTCTTTCAAGAACTTCAAATGGTCCCACATAGCGAGGACTTAACTTTCCACGCTTTCCAAATCTCATCACGCCCTTAGTAGGAGACACTCTCACATACACAAAATCTCCGCTATTAAATTCTAAGCCTCGTCTTTTCAAATCAGCCCAACTCTTCTGCCTATCTTGAGAAGTTTTGATCCTATCTCTTATTAATTGAATCTTCTCAACTGTAAGTTCTACCAGTTCAGGACCCAATATCTTTCTTTCTCCAACTTCATCCCAACACAAAGGTGACCTACACTTCCTCCCATATAATGCTTCATACGGTGCCATTCCAATGCTTGATTGATAACTATTATTATAAGCAAACTCAATTAAGGGCAAATGTTTACTCCAACTGCCTTTAAAGTCAAGTACACAAGCTCTAAGCATATCCTCTAAGGTCTGAATTGTCCTTTCTGTTTTCCCATCAGTTTGAGGGTGAAAGGTTGTACTGAGTTTAAGTTCTGTACCCAAGGCTCTTTGCAAACTCTTCCAAAATTTTGATAAAAACCTTGAGTCCCTATCTGAAACAATGCTCACTGGAACTCCATGCAATCGAACAATCTCATCAATATAGAGTTGAGCCAAATCGTTCAATGGTGTAGTACGTCTAACTGGCAAAAAGTGTGCAGTCTTAGTGAGTCTATCAACAATCACCCAAATAGAATCATTTCCTCGAGTAGTCCTTGGTAACCCACACACAAAATCCATTGAAATGTGTTCCCATTTCCATTCTGGTATTTCTAAGGGCCTTAGTAATCCTGCAGGCCTTTGATGTTCTGCTTTGACTTGTTGACAAACCATGCATTTTGATACAAAGTCCGCTACGTCACGCTTCATGCCGCTCCACCAAAAGTTTCTTTTCAAATCTTTATACATCTTTGTGGCACCAGGGTGTATTGCAAAATGAGACTTATGAGCTTCACTTAAGACTTCCCTCTTAATCACCTCATCATTTGGCACACACAACCTAGACTTGAAGCGCAATGAACCATCCCCAAAAATTAAAAAGTTTGTAGTCTCACCTTTCTCTAATCTTTCTTTTATCTTTTTCAACCCTGGATCATCAATTTGAGCAACCTTAATTCTATCCAATAATGCTGGTTGAGCAGTTAAAGTTGCCAGAACCTTACTAAACTTATCCTTAGTTATCACTTCTACCTCCATCCTTTCAAACTCTTTTAGTATCTGAGGTTGCATAGTTAGAAAGTTTGCAAGTCCCATAGATGATTTTCGACTAAGTGCATCTGCAACCACATTAGCTTTTCCTGGGTGATAGTGAAATCTTATATCATAGTCTTTAATTAACTCTAGCCAACGCCTTTGCCTCATATTTAGATCTTTTTGTGTGAACAAGTATTTCAAACTTTTGTGATCAGTGAAAATCTCACAAGGTTCCCCATATAAATAATGTCTCCAAATTTTCAAAGCAAAAACCACCGCTGCAAGCTCTAAGTCATGAGTTGGGTAGTTCGCTTCATAAGGTTTTAGTTGGCGAGAAGCATAAGCCACCACTCTATCATTTTGCATTAACACACAACCCAACCCTTTCTTTGAGGCATCACTGTATATAACAAATCCTCCCATGCTCGAGGGGAGTGCTAATATGGGTGCACTTACTAGACGGCTTTTCAAGTCCTCAAAACTTCTTTCACATTCTGCTGTCCACTCAAATTTCACAAGCTTCCGTGTCAAGTTAGTTAAGGGAGAAGCAATTTGAGAAAATCCTTCCACAAACCTTCTATAATAGCCGGCCAGCCCTAGGAAACTCCTCACCTCAGTTACATTTGTAGGTCGTGGCCAATTAGACACTGCTTCTACTTTGGCTGGATCAACAGAAATTCCATTTTCTGATATTACATGACCAAGAAAAGATACTCTGTTAAGCCAAAACTCACACTTACTTAGTTTTGCATATAACTTCTTGTTTCTCAATGTTTGCAACACCATCCTTAAGTGTTCTACATGCTCTTCTTTGGTTTTAGAGTAAACCAAAATATCATCGATGAAGACTACAACAAATTTATCTAAGAATTGCTTGAAAACCCTGTTCATCAAATCCATGAAAGCAGCGGGAGCATTCGTTAACTCGAAAGGCATAACCAAGAATTCATAATGGCCGTATCTAGTTCGAAACGCAGTTTTAGGTACATCTGCTGCCTTGATTTTCAATTGGTGATAACCAGATCTCAAGTCAATCTTAGAGAAATACTTTGCTCCTTGTAATTGGTCAAATAAGTCGTCTATGCGGGGGTAACGGATATTTGTTCCTTACAGTTACCTTATTCAACTCTCTATAATCGATGCAAAGTCGAAAACTCCCATCCTTCTTTTTAACAAACAAAACAGGTGCACCCCAAGGTGAGACACTAGGGCGGATAAATTTCATGTCTAGTAACTCTTGCAATTGTACCTTTAATTCTCGCAACTCTGCTGGAGCTATCCTATATGGAATTTTGGACTTAGGAGTTGTTCCAGGGATCAAATCAATCTCAAACTCTATCTCTCTATCAGGGGGTACTCCTGGTAATTGCTCAGGAAAAACTTCAGGAAAATCACTAACCACTGGAATGTCTTCTAATTTCACATCTTTGGTTTGTGCATGAATTGCATAAGCTATAAACCCTTGACATCCCTTCCTTAATGATTTTCTTGCACTCATGGTTGAGATGATATGTAGGGGTATCTTAGTGGCCAATACACCTCTCTCTTTGCAATTTTGCATGCAAAATTCTTGTTGCCCTGGAATCTGGAATATAACCTTTCCCTTAGAGCAATCAATATAAGCATGGTTCTTTGATAACCAATCCATCCCAAGTATGACATCAAAATCATGTATATCCAGCAAAACTAGATTTGCCACCATTTCTCTCCCTCCAAGCAAAAGAATACAATTTTTGACCCACATATCCGCAACTTCAATCTTCTTCATAGGGGTGCTAACAAACAAGGGTTCATCTAATTTTTCCGTTATTAGGTTCAAAGACTTCACAAATCTCTTAGACGCAAAGCAATGAGAGGAACCAGAGTCAAACAAGACATAAGCGTTTATAGAGTTTATGGGCAATATACCTGAAACAACATTGTCGGCAACATCTGCATCTTGTTGAGTCATAGCGAATACGCGAGCATTAGTCCTGGGTTTTTGTTGAGTTGATCCTGCTGCAATATGCATTTTCCTTGGACAATCTTTCACTTTGTGTCCCAATTGACCGCATTCAAAACATGCCCCAGACTTACGGCGACATTCCCCAGTGTGATAAAGATGGCAGAAGTTGCACTCCTTGGTCTGCACAACATGTCCTTTACTTGTCTTCTTATTTGGTACATTTCCACTATCCCTTGGCTTTCCATATTGTTGTATGGATTCTCTTACCCTTTTTCTGTCAGACCACTGCTCCTTGGACTCATTCAACCTTGCTTCAACTTTTATGGCACTATCGAACACTTCTTGATAGCTATGATAAACATTAGATGACATATGATTGCGGATTGTAGACCTCAAACCATTTTCAAACCTATTGGTCTTTGTTTCCTCATTACTCATATAGATTGGAAAGAACTCTCCTAGTTCCATATATTTATGAGCATATTCCAAGACTGTCATATCACCTTGCACCAAATTTAGGAATTCATTTTCTAGCACCCTCCTTACACTATCAGGAAAATAGTTACAATATAACACCCTCTTAAATTCTTCCCAAGTTATATGATCCCCATCTTGGTATGATGCCCTTGTAACCCCCCACCAATGCTCTGCATTTCCTTGAAGCAATGGTATAGTTACACCCAATTTGATTTCCGGAGGGAACTGCATAGCTACAAACAATTTCTCCACCTCTTTGATCCATTTAATTGCTGCCAAGGGATTTGGTCCACCATCGAAAGTTGGTGGGTTTACACGTCTAAACCTTTCAAAATAGGACGCTTGATTATTAGTTGCTTGTTGCTGCAAAAGGTTAGCTAACACTTGAAAGGTGCCCACAATGTCAACTTGTGTAGTTGTTTGAGGCGCAGCTTGAGAGGTATTTTGAGGTTGAGGAATACCGGAAGAAGGGACTTCATCAACCGGTACATCTCGAATCCCTTGAACTAGCCTAGCAATTCGACCACCTCTCGATTGCCTTGCCTGCCTTCCTCTTCCGCCGCCAGAGGTTCCTCCACGACCTCTATCCATGAATTGACTAATTTGCTGAAAGACATACAAACAATGAAATATAACAAAAACAATACAAACAACCATTCACAACATCAAATACCTAAGATTTACAACCGACCCACCCAATCCATATTAGAACATACATTTGTTTACAAGCCTAGATTTTTTTTATTTTTTTTTAAGGAGTCAACCTATGCTTGGATAGAAAATCAATTCCAAACCTAGGCTCTGATACCAACTCTGTCACGCCCCAAAAATGAGCATAACCCGGCCGTATTATTACGACAAAAACAAAATCGTTATAATACGAAGCCTGCTAAACAAAATATCAATCACAAGATAACCTAAACAACCTCTTGGTCTTAAAGTTCCTTCCCCGAAGATAGCTTAATTGGAATTATAATATACACATTTAAGCTTCTAGACATGGTCCAAAATTACAACTTGAAATCCAAGGTCCTACTATGGACTTTGATCTCCACAAAAAGACTAGAAGTAGTCCTCCTCTATCACAAAACACTAGACTAATACCCCATGGTCTTTAACCCCAAAATGTGACCTCCCTTGTCTTAACCTCGATCAACACTCTAATCTGAAAACATGAACACACAAGTGAGCTCAAAGCATGGTACATCATATAACACTTCTCTACCAAATCAAGTATAAAGAATAAAGAGGACCACAAATAAATAAGGTAACATAAGACGTTTAATAAAAAGTATAATAAAAGCGTTAGTATTCTTATACAATTTTATCGCATAAGAGTATCAATAATTCCAGAGTTTTCCCTTCAAGTCATGAATCATAGATCGGTGCTCAAAATATCATAGAAATAAATAAATAAAGATATTACATACCTAACTCACCATTTTACTTTGAGAACTATAATATACTCATAGGATGAGCCAAGATCAATTAATAATATTACACTAGTCAAGGGTAGCAAAGCTACCAATTAAAATCAAGGGAATGTTCCAAATCAAGGGTGGCGAGACCACCAGTTGGAAATCAAGGGAACATTCCAAGTCAAGACAAGGGTGGTTAGACCACCAATATGATTAATACCTTTGAAAATCTATATATACCATGATCAACATTAAAACGCATCAAATTCCCAAATTTTCACGAGATATGTACTAATTCTTTATCATACAAAACATGCCCATAATATTCAAGAATAGCTTCAATATTTTACAATCACTTAAGCTATGGTATATAAGTTACAATGAGTAAGTAAGTGCAAAGTTCCCTTACCTTAGTAAGCTTTAAGCATAGAAATTCCTTTATGCACTAACCTTCACGGTCACCTATCAAATACATACACCATTATAACTTACTAGCATTCCAAATATTTACAAATTCTTCTTGTAAATTTATAAAAAAAAACCATGTTTTCTCCACACCAAGCAACAAGCCAAAAATATAAATAAATGAGCCTAAGACCTCTATTACTCTTCTTGAAACAAGTACTGTCAAAATTGAACAAATAAGATGTAGTTCATTAGGGAGAAAAATCAGCCGCAACATGGGTAATAAATCATAGGTTTGCAAGGGAAATGAAATAATAAATTAGCACATAACCCTACTAAAGCTATCCCAAAACACCCACTTTAAAACAACCCTTGACAATTTCAATTCTTCACTAGAATTCCCATTCTTGAGCTTCGGATTACAGCAAAAAATGAACCAGGATGCTAAAGTGTAAAATATCTTCTTTTAACAACAAAACTAAAGTAATTACCTTGTCCCCTTTTTTTACTTTGTTTTTGAGCACAAAAGCAAAACCTACTGCCTCCTCACTCTTCTTACGCCAAAAGCTCAAAGTGTCATTTTCTCTCCTCTTTCTTCTCTACTAAGATTCCAGAATAATCTCCTTCCCCCTAATGGACTTCTCAAGCTTATGATATACAAATATTATTGGGCCCAAGAATGGACTAAGCCCAAATCAAAACTTAACCAACTAAATTATAATTTGGGCCTAGGAAGAATAAGACCTAAAAATATCTAGTTAGCCTATTATTATTATTATTATTACTATCAAAAATGAAAATTTGTCATTACAATATGGGGATGCCTAAGATGGAGATCATAGCTAAGAAAATAGGTTTTGTTGAGACATGGGTTACCTCTTAGCCTTAATTAATTTCCTTGGCTATGGAGGGTCTTTCTCTAAGTCTTTCTTCTTTCTTGATTCCTCCTAGGGGAATTCTTGGAACTCCTTGTGTGGTGAGAGATTATTGTGGTGGGGGTTCTAAGTGCCTCCTATGTCCCCTATTTACATATCTAAGAGTCCTAATTAGGGCCCAAATACTATAAGCTTTCTAACTCTATTCCTTTTAGGACTAGGGGTTGGGTTTAGAGGTGAGGGCCCACGGACTATGGTGGGCCTTTTCCTAATTAATTATTGTAA